ATTTAAACAGTGGCGTACTATCAGGGTTAGTGTAACTTTTTCCCACTACTTTTTACTTCCCTAAAACAATTATTTTCTTTTATTTTTTTTTAATTTTCTGTTTATTTTTAGTTAAAAAGTAATGACTTTTTATGCAGTTAAAACGAACAGTGTTGTAAAAATTTGTTTCTAAACCAAAATTTACATATACTTGGATAATTTTTACGACTCAATATTTTTAAATTCAAATCTAGTACGCGCATGTCAAATTTTTAATAGTTCGTGTATTTGACTAGACCTTAGTAGATCAAGTTTGAAAAAACATTTGAAAACGTTTGTGATTTATTGAAAATTTCGAATTTTGATTTAAAACTTTAACACCTTGTGTCTCAGTAACTAAGCCCTCCAACACGTTGTATATATTTTATGTTCTGTATTTTTTTTGTTCTTATTTTGTTGTTCCAGTTTTTTTATTTATTTTTAAATATTGACAAGTCTTTGTTCTTATTTTGTTTTTACAGTTTTTTGTTTATTTTTAGATATTGACAAGTCAAAATCTTTTAAAATTGTAATTTTGACGAATACCTATATCTACCTATACTTTTGCATATACTTATAGATATACTTACATTTATACTTATACCTATATCTATACCATTGTCTCGTTCATCTAATGCAGTACCTACATCAACATTTTCAATTTTAACTAAGCAACATTTTGGTTGCTTAATAACTGAATTACATTTTTGTTTGAATTTTGGTATTTGACCTAATAATTTTAACTCGTATAATTCCGTTTTTATATATTTAATTTACGATAACATGGTAAATATTTACCAAAGGTATTCAGGCATACCAGATTATTTTCTATCCCCTATTGTATCCTCAAAGTGGATCAAAAACATATAAAAATGGCCAGAAATTGTTTGTATCTACATAAAAAAAAGTATATACAATAATATTAATAATGTATGCGGTAAATTTTTGTACGAAAAAATCAATAAAATGAAAAAAATTAATTTGACTTTTTTTTATTCTCGATAGCTGTAGCTGTACTATATAGAGTGTACCAATAAAATATCCCAGGCCAGATATTTTCAAAATTTCAAAAAATACAGGATATCATAGTCAAAGTAGGTACCTACCTTTGTAAAAATAGTATTGTTTCCAATAAAGTATACAAATATAGGTTAGTACGATTTTAATTGCTTGGAAAAGCAATGTTTGGACTTACATACCTATTGAAAATTATTTGATTTTATTGAACAATATATTCTTAGAGAAGAATTTTCTACAAGATGCGCTAAATCAATTTAAATCAAAAACTGAAACTCTCAGTACTCTACCAACACGCCATTATGGAATTAAAATATCCGGCCTGAGAGATTTTATTGGTACACCCTATATATGAAATATAATATAGACATTTACATAACAATACGTTTTTGAATTTGATGGTATCTTCTACAAATTCTATACTGGAAAATATGATTCACTTCGACGTCTTTTTAAGACCACAAACTAATTATAAACAGTTAATATAAAAAATAGTAGAAGTTTTTATCCATTTATATAAGATCTACGAGATGTGTCAAATAAACATTTATAATTGGATCTGAAGACTCAGATGTTTAAGGAAAAATATATGCTTTCGATGACCCAATTATTTTTAAAGAATTATTATAATATACAGATCAATATGACTAAAACTCGTTATAAACATGTGCTCAGAAAACAACCTTGCTGACATCGTCTTAAATTCAAATCACATAAAATTTTAAATAATAAAATAATAAAAAAAATGTTTGTTTCACTGTTATCACTAACCAAGATAATTTTTGATAATCGTTAAATTTTTCAAAAATTAGTTTGTAAAAATATTACTTTCCTAAAGAGAATATTGGTTACCAAGTTTGAAAAAAAATATTTAAAACGTACTTAAAGTTACGCGGGTTTCGGATTAAAAATTTTATGAGTATTTCCAGGTAAGTACCCGAAAGTCTTTGGGGAAATATCAACTGGTTAAATGAAATGAAACATAATGTACAACTTCTTAATTAAATAATAATGGAGAATCTTTTGTATAATTGAGAGCAGAATTAAACTTCTTCATTAATGGAGTCTAATGTGGGTATTATAAACCTAATAATAATATTATATTACACTTCACACAGAAAATATGGTCTATGTATAATAAGAGAGTTATTTAGCTCAAATAAAATATTTTCTAACATAAAAATTTGTTCCATGTAGAGAATTTCAAATGAAAAATAAAAAAATTGAACTTGCCAACAAAAATGAAAATCAGTCATTATCATCCAAAATATCATAATCGTCATCATCATCACTGTCATCGCCATTAATTGTTATTATGATTGGACATATTTCGTTTATTTTATTTTCACGAGTCCACCAATCTTCTATTAGTTTCTCGAACTTGGATATACAGTTCCGCCACACTTCTGGAGTTGCAATTGAAAGTGATTTTCGCCAAGTTTCCCGAACTGCGTCGTCACTATAACCATTAGGCCCAATATGGTTGTCATAATATTGATTTGCTATTCCCCATATATATTCGATGGGATTAAACTGGCAATGATACGGTAGCAGACGTAAAACTTGATGACCGTAACTTTCAATAATCTTTGTGGATCAGATTATAATTATAATCTGATCCACAACAACAAAGGTGTTTGGTTTTGAGTGTATATTTGCCAAGCGTAATAATTCTGATTTTAATATATATTGAGGAAATGGTATATGTTCCTTTGTCAACCATTTTTTAATTTTATCAACAGTTCAAGAATTCGTTGGACCTTTGTTTAATACTTCAGAATGGTAAGGTGCATTGTCTAAAATAATTACGCTGGGCTCATTTAAACCTGGGAGAAGTTTTTCATGCAACCATTTTACAAACATTTATGTGTTCATATTATCGTGATAGTCACTGGATTTTGATTTAGATGAAAATATTAAATCAGCACCTTCTATAAAACCCGATTTCCCTCCTGCATGTAAAATTATGTGTCGCTTCCCTTCTCCATCGGTATGTTTGATGGACTTTACGTTATCATCTTGCCATATTCTCTTGGATGCACCCCTAGAAAATATCCATGTTTCGTCTAAATATATAAAATTCTCCCCTTCTTCTTTAAATTTAGAATATTTTCTTAGAAATTTAATTCTCTTGTGCACGACAGAACTTGTTTCACAAAGGGCCTTTCTGTTATCCTCCTTTTGAAATTTGAAACCCAAGTTATGTATCACTTGCCATAGACTTGTTCTGCCAATGTCAAATTGTCTATCTATTAATTCCGAGAGAATTATATTTAAGGTTACATGTTTCTTGTAGGCCCTCATTCGATAAATGGTATCATGAATTTCAAATTTCTTTCCATCTGGAATATCTTTCGTTTTCAATGATGGGCGAGTTTTGCGGTGATCTTCTTTCGGCAGTTCACTATTGTGATTTTGTAATTTATTTTATTTATTTTATTTATTAAATACACTATTCTACAAGTAATACCCAATTACAGAATAGGAAAATATGACAAAAATACTCCTCTTAATTTGGTTTCACTAATTCCTAGAGCATCGCATACGCGTTGTTGTACAGACATTACCGATTTTAAAGAACCGTCATTTTTTTTCATCCGTAAAATACTTATGTACACTACAAATTAGACTATCTTCATCTAACACACGTCTATGCATTTTTAAAATTTCCACTAAATTTACAATATACATACAATGTCAACACTTGCAAAGAATTAATTCAACTGCAATATTTGTAACAAATTTAATACCTACCCTAATGTTATTTTAGGTTAAATCTGACCATTAGGGCAATTTTACCTAATTTCTTGGGAAGAGGCTTATTGAACCTGGTTGTCAATGACTAATTTGCGTAAACCCGCGTAAGTATATCGAACAGACTGTACGTTCTGTTTTTTTAAATTAAAAGTTAACTCCATATGCTTGAATCAATTCAGTAAATAAACAAGATCATCATGTGTTTTAACTGCATTTCTTCCCGTGTATAACCTGTATAAACAATAATCGAAACTGAAAATGTGGTATAAACTATTTGTTAATCTGTTAATGCAAAGATTAAACAGAATAGGTCCAAGGACAGTGCTCTGTAAGACTCCATATTCTATTATCTCTTCATTACTAACATGGTTGCCTATTTGTACTTGATCTATTAGATAGTTTTTAGTGATTAAAATTATTAAAGGCATTGGAGAGATCATTAATGTCTTCAAAGGGTATTCAGAGGTTTCATCAAGAAATACAGCAACTACAAATTCAAACTTGAACGTAGACCTTCTTCATTTTTCTATTTTGTCCCCTTTATAAAAAAATAACAATTAAATTGAAAAAAAAAATTAATCCAAAATAGCCCGAATGTGTGAAATATTTTAATAAAATTATAAATAATATTCTTATAATCTTTTTTAGTATTCCTAGTTGACTTCTATTAAACTATGCAAGAGAAATTAGTGAGTTATCTTTTTTTTAAATGTTTACCTTATTGTTGTTTTTTTTTTTGTTTCTTATGAAAGGGATCACTCAAGACAGGCACATAATGATATGCTATTGAACAAAGACAAATTTAAAACTGTCATATTATATTTGATTGGATTTGATTTCTCAGATTTGTTTACAGCAATAAACTTGATTAAATTCATTAAAACTCTTTTTCTTTCAATATCGACATAACATTATTTAAGAACACCTCGTATATTAGGTATATTATATCATCAGAATTATTAAGGCATCGGTCCTAGTTATAATTTTATTATTAATAAATTTATATTTTCTTAAAAAAGTAATTTCTTATATTTAATCCTTCTACATCTCCGTAATTTTCATAGTTTTTTAATTATCTTCACAATTAGTGTCTTAATAAGCTGTTAAATATTTAAAATATCTAAAATCGAATAAGGTATATAATTTGTGGCCCATAAAAGGGCTTTATAGCCCACTGTGATCTGTATCGTTAGTTTTAAAGTAAGCAATGACACAAAGAAGTTGGACTAGTGGGTTACTTTACTTATACCATCATAATCTCAGTAAATTCTGCATCATACAGCGTTTAGTAGTGGAACGGAGTGGTTGGGTATACCGGTGATAAAAATCCAATAAATCGAATTGAAAACCGATAGATAGAAGAACCTCGAGAAAATCTAAAGGTGCGTTTACAATATTTTTATTTTTTTATTAACTAATTTGTTTGTAAATGTTTTTGGTTTTGGAAACAAAATTTTTTAAATTTTTATTTATTTTTTTTTACCATGTTACTTGAATTTAGTTGGCAGTGCTTCTAAATATATTTTTGTTTAAATCATTTTAATAATATTTAATTCTTCTATATTAAAAAAAAATAATGTTTAGATTAAAATGAAAATTTTTAATTTAATTATTGTGTAATAATTTTAACAAATTTTGATTGTAGATATAATACGAACTAATACAAATTTTAACTAAAGATAAGTACCTTGTATAGAATATACATTTTTGGGAGGCGAATACATTAACAATTTTAATTTAATTGATAATTGATTTAAACTGTATTCAATTATTTATATTTTTATTTCAAATTTTGCAATCATTAAAATATATGATGAAAAAAAAATAGAGTGAATGATTACGTTACTAAATAACGTGCTAATCCAAAAGATTTATTTTAAAAAAGACAGTCTTATTCTTAATAAAATTTATTTAAATCCCGAATATAATTACAAAATGTTTGCGAATCTTACTAAAAACCGGTATTATCAAAATAAAATTATAAACTTTAATTGTCTCACGAAAACATCATGGAAATTAATTGCAGAACTAAACAAAAATATCACTATAAAGAATACTTATGGTAAATTAATTCAAAAACCTCTTATTTTGCCTGATTTGTTTAATAACTTTTTAATTAAAGCTCCTCAATAATTAATAAATTATTTCATAAATTAGTAAAGTCATAAATTATTTTTAAAATAGTTATTTTATTATCTTAATAATGTCTAAATTAATTTAAATTTTTTTTAAATTTTCGTGAGTGGATCGTAGAGAAAATATACTGTACAACTCGAGTGGTTTGTCCATATCGTACTCAGACAATTGAGTCCTCAGCTTACCGCATCTTGTTCAAATTTCGTCTTCGTGCGATATAGCCATCCATCATATCCACTCTAATTGCAGAAAATAATTTATGATATTTATTAATTTATAAAAAAAATAAACATGAAAAAAACATTAATTTAATTATTAGTCCTTAGACCAGATTTGAACCTGGGCCTCTCATGTGGAAGACGCCGTATCCTCACTTCCACCGCCACATGTAGAAATTAGTTTTAATACTCGTAAATAGTTTGATTAAATTTTAAAATTTATTTCTAAATGTAGACGAAACAAAAATAGAAATACGATTATTTATCGATTCCACGCAAAAATAACCCATTTTAATGTAAGTATATTCAAAAAATATATACTGACAATTAGTTTAACAGAATTGTTACTCATAAAATGTTAAAAATATGAACTGTGATTGGTGGATTTCATTTTTTTGCAGTGTTCTCACTACCTAGAATAGATATGAAATATATCCGTTCAGTTGTGGGTTTAGAAAAACTTGCAGTAATCATACAATTTATAGATTTTCGTAATCTTTATTACTGACAACCGTTTTTTGATTAGTAATCAAAGTCGAAAATAATATCCTACAAGGTGAAATTAAAAAATAAGATATTGAAATCACCACACTACCAAAGTCAAAAATCATATCCTACCAACAGGGTGAAGTTAAAAAGTAAAATATTGAAATCACTACAATACTTTTTTATGTAATTGTAATGTAATAGTTTTTAGATACAAAAAAAATCTAGAGAAAATGAGGGAAGTAACGTAATTTTGACTACTTGATAATCACAATTACCATGTTTTTTGTCATTTAAATGCTGAACATATTACCTAATAAAAGTTTTTTTTTACTGTTCTGCTAATTTGAATTTGTAACAAAATTTTACACTATTAAAAATTAATATTTTTATCATTTCATATCTTTTTAACAATTAAATTTGATCCTAAAGTATTTAGGTTTTATAAACCAGCTTTTAAATAAAAATAAATACATAAATATATTAGGGGTCATATTTAAAATAAAACGAGATTTGAAGAAAAACCGAAAACTTGACAAAAGCGCAAATTTAAAATTTGAGTACCAAATTTAGTAGTAATTGGATAGATAGGTAGTTCGTTTGCATTTTCGCTTGGTATAACTAAATACGACCTGAATCATTTCCCACATCAGCCATGCAGCGAAAATACTTAACATAAATTATGTCTAATACTATATGATGCGAAAAATCTTAAACGCATGTTTTATTATTTCCTTTGACTGACTGATTTTCTGTAATTTCCTTTTCTTAACAGTATTCATCATTATTTAATAAGACATACATTTCTGGTCATTACTCACGATAATAATTGTTTAAACCATCAAAATATTCAGATTTCTAATTTTTTATGTGACAGTGCTACGAAAATTTTTAATTATTTAGATCACTTAAAAAGTTTACGCAATTTTTTGTATCAAAAAGTGTTCAAACTCGTTTATTTTTTTATTTTTTAAATTTTAGGACTAAAAACTGTGACATCAAAATTTTTTCATTTTGAATAGTGCATTTCACATTTTATAGCAAACTTTTTCTGTATCTCTCGTACACAGTGGCGTAGCCGCGGGGGTTTTGGGGGTCAGAACCCCCCTAATGTCACCAAACCAAAAATTTCTGGTCATTACTCCCGATAATTGTTTCAACCATCGAATAATTCAGATTTATGATTTTTTATGTAACAGTGCTACGAAAATTTTTAATTATTTAGATCACTTAAAAAGTTTACGCAATTTTTTGTATCAAAAAGTGTTCAAAATCGTTTAATTTTTTTTGTATTTTTTAAATTTTAAGTCTAAAAACTGTGACATCAAAATTTTTGAATTTTGATTAGTGTGTTTCACATTTTATAGCAAACTTTTGTGCATCTCTCGTACACAGTGGCGTTGCCGCGAGGGTTTTGGGGATCTGAACCCCCCTATGTCACTATTGGCGTTGATCGCTATTAATTGTTTGTTTTTATTCACTTTTTTATCGTTTTATAAAAAATTATTTATTTTTATTTACTTTTTTTAATAAAAACTATCTTATCTGAAATATTTCACTTTGTTTATATAGCCCCCCACCCCATAGTTCTCAGAAACCCCGCCCATGAAGAATTTCTGACTACGCCACTGCTCGTGCATACATCGTATTGTCCATATATCTTTTACTGTAATATTTTGTCTGTAATAATAAAATCCTAATATTTACATGCCTGATTTCTCCCCAAAAATAGTTCATAAATTGTTTTTTAAATTCAGATATATTTTGCATCCTTTTTGTACCTCTTCTTCTTTTTATTTCACCATAAACTCGCTACCTCTGTTAAATACACTTTTACAATGTTCTTGATTTTATTAAAGTCATTTTGACCCCGATATTTATTACACATTTTTCTCAAAATACTTTTGGATGTAATACTTTTAAGTTTCCATCAAAATGTAACTTTATTTCATTAATTGTCATTAATATTTATATATTTTTCTAAATTATCTGCAAATTTGTTTCTAATTTCTCCATTTCTTTTATTTAATTAATTTTTTTTTTAATTTACCATTTTAAATTCATTCTATTCTGATATGACTTTTTCAAACTTATTGTGATATTACCCCGATAATTATCAGTATAACCTTGTTTACTCTATAATTATTTGGCTCAAAATTCAAATTATCCACACCAATATTTAATATAAAGCAATGTGCAATGCAAATGCAAATAAAAACAATTATAATTGAACTGTATTGACCGATACTCTTGCATGAATTAATGGAGGCGTCAAAACGATCATTGAATGTGTCTTAAGTACTCTTCATACACAATATTTAGTGACTGATTTAATTATTTCGGGTATTGTTGCAGATGCTTCGAATTCTATAATAGCCGTTAATTTTATTAGAATGCATATATCAGTGGCGTATCAAGTTGATTTTTAATGTTCGATAATGAAAATATTGAAAAAACTATTCATTAACCTTTTAAAAGCTTTAATATTTCGAAATCCTGGTGTTCCACAGGGTAGTAATCCAGGCTATTTCTTCCTCGATTTTCTTCAACATTTTCATTAATGATATTCTAGAAAAAATTGATTTTTTACGAACCTCTGCCACATTGAGGAATGATACTCTACAAACTAAAAATGTTCTATATTTTTGGACTACAAACCCCATAACACCACTCTATAAAGGCTTCAAACTTTTACTAATTTGGGAGTGACATTTGGAGGGTTGAAAAGCCAATCAGTGTAAGTCAGTTAAACAAAAATAAAACTATAGTAGAAACACAAATAAATACAAATGATTATAAGAGCTTTATGAGAATGTTTTAGTGAAAAGTAAATTTTAAAATATAAAAAAATCTAAATTTATATAGTTTAAAAAAATCCAAAAACAGTGACTTAGACTGATTAGCTTCTGAACCCTCCATTTGATGAGAATTTTTCATTTGTACCTCATATCAATAACATTTCATAGCTACAAGATAAGATCGACATTCAGCAAAAATTTACTTAATCTATAGAAAAATAAGCACAATAGTCAAATAACATTGTTTTTGTTTGGATCTATACGAAGCCCATTTTTTATGGCCACAAAATCAGTTTGACATACAGCAATAATGTATTTTATCTATAGCGAGATCATGACAAAGTTAAATACTACTGTTTTTGTTTAAACTTACAGCGAAATCAATTTTTCATAGTTACAAGATAAGACTGACATTCAGCAAATATTTACCTAATATATAGCGATATCGTTACAATAGTCAAATAACATTATTTTTGTTTAGATCTATAACGAAATCCATATTTTATAACTATAAAATCAGATTGACATTCATCAAAAATGTATTTTATCTATAGCGAAATCAGTACAAAGTTAAATAACACTGTTTTTATTTGGACCCAAAGCGAAGTGAATTCTTTATAGCCACAAAATAAGATTGATATTCAGCAAATATGTATTTTATCTATAGCGAGTCAGTAAAAAAGACAAACAACAATGTTTTTGTTTGGACCTATAACAAGTCTTCATTTGTTATAGCCACAAAAT